CCCCCCCGCCAACACACACACACACAGCCACACACACATTCACACACACATTTTTGTGTATTCTTACCTTTTTTTTTTACAGTTTTCATTTTTTTTTTTAATGCCAAAAAATCAACGGTTTGGAAAAAAAAAAAAAAACAGTTGTAGGGTCTGAGAATTTAGGATCTGCAAGAAGACCTATTAGATCCGTATATCTGCCGGAGAGTTTGCATTCTCTCATCAAAGAAGAAAGACCCCCGCGGATCTTATCCAGAGGAAGGCTCTTGTTCGTCTGCGGAACCCGTAGGGTTTGAGAATTTAGGACCTGCAAGAAGACCTATTAGATCCATGTATCTGCCGAAGAGTTTGCGTTCTCTCATCAAAGAAGAAAGACCTCCCCGGACCTTATCCGGAGGAAGGCTCTTGTAGAGCACCGGTTGGAAATGCGCATTGTGGTCTGAGGTTGTGGGTTCAAAATCACACAGCCCCGCGCATGGACACCGGTGGGCGTTGACCAACGCACAGCCATACACGCCTTTCCCTTGGGATTGGTGTACGGTAAGGACTACAGGCACTGCCGCACCACCCGAGGGATTCAGTCCGGGATTATTGTATGTTCAGTCTGGGCTATGGGGGGTTGCTCCAAGGTTCTTGGTCCGTGGATTGTACAGATGATCCCCCGGCCTAGCATAGCGCATGAATATACCAGCTGTCACGGTAGCTCCGTTGGTTTGAGCTTGGGCTTTATGGATGAGGGGGGAGGTCCAGGGTTCAAGTCCAAGTAGTCTGATCAAGCACATAATGGATATAGGTCGGTTCTATAGGGGGTAGGTAGCGGGGGTAACGGGGTTTGGGGAGCCTGGCTTCGAAGGGCGCCATTTGGAAGGGAGTTGGTGCCAGGGTATTCAAGAATATGAGTGGAGCTTGAGCAGATTGGGTTGTCTTGCTCTGACGATGGTTTAACCACTAGAGGTGGGTGGTAGCTTCCGTTGCGTGGCAGTAGCAGTGTCAAGGGGGATGTCTTTGGACCGTACCGATACAACAAGTAGGGTTACAACTTGAACAATCCAATGCGACTAGAGAGAGGTCTACTAGGGGAACATTTTAGGGCGGATAGGGGGCCGTACATCTGCTGACATTAGGCGAGAACCTCTAGGTCACAGCAACCAAACAGTGGTACACATAACGAATAATACAAAAACTTAGAGGGGGGATAGGGTTCGGGTCTACCTACGGACTTGTAAGGATGTCTATACCTATCGCCCAAAGTAACCGGGCAGCGTTCGTCCAACTATGCTGACTGGGGTAATTAGGCCCGGCTTAGCCTTGATACCTGCATCCGCTGTCCCATCAGGTTGCCTCCATCTCTGAGTGGTAGGCACTGAGGTACGACCGTGGGCGTGGGGGTGCGCCAGGGACTAATGATGAAATACTGGTAGGTTGGGAGGGAGTCCCGTAAGGAATGATGTCCTCTGTAGATTATATGGATAACCACACGGCCGACTACCAAATGCAGCTGTCATATATCTAGTATCCAACCTCTTCAACCTGGGCTTTTTAAGTATGGAAAAAAAAGGGCCAGCAGGCAACAGTAAGGAGTACTTACTGTGCCCCTAAAACCCTGAGCTCCAGAGGGTTAGGGTTGAGTGTAAGATAAAGGTTGATGCTAGCATAGGCAGGGGTGAGGGGTGGTAAATCCTTCCTGCCATAATGGGAGGGAGCGTGCATGTGTCCAGCATTGTAATTTTGATGACTTGCCAGGCGAATAGCAACCGGACTGTCGCTCCCCAGAATGGAAGGAGCCAGAGCCCAAGAGGGCCTGTTATCTTCATATATATACATATACATATATATACACATAGCCAAACAGAGCTGTATATATCATTAAACAGAACTTCCCGGTAAAACCGTCGGCAGAGAGGGAGAACAGGACAAACAACGAGGGGCTGTGACAAACTGTTTCATCATATTCACCGACTCATCAGGAGGCTGTACCATCAACAGTCTGCAGAATCCCTAACTGATTACATCCACATTAACCCCTGTTGTGATTAAGCATCATAAATGAACCGCAGATCACTGATGATATCCAAGGCCATTGCCCATTCTTTAAGAAAACAAGCAGATGTCTGTTGCGGCTCCTCCGCAGGCGGAGCCGCAGCCCAGATCCTCGCCAGCCGACGTCGCAAAGACACACCCAGCAGGGGGGAAAATACTAAGCGGGCAAGGTGGCACCAAGCGGGGCAGGTCGTACTATGCGGGGCCGGGGTCACCACACGGGGGTCGGTCAGTTTAACACAGTAAGGGTCATTGGACTGGATGGCACTATGTTGGCTGGCCGGTACACGGTAGTCGTCCGCAGGTCATACTTTGCACCATGTGGGCAAGGAGAAGGGTGCAATGCTACATCGGATGCGTGGTACAAACTCCCCCCCTCCCAAAAAAGACCCGGAAAAGGCAAAAAGGCCGCAAAATTGGATGCAGAGAAAAGAAAATGGGGGCGCACCAAAAAATAGTAGGGGCCGCGCTCCACTCACCACTTGCACGTTCTGACAAAAGATTCGTTTGGACCCCCCCAAAAAAGGAGGACAGACAGAAAGTAAGGGTTGCGCTTCAAAAAGAAAAGAAAAACAAGAAGTAAGGGCTGCACAGTGCACACCAATCACTGCTCGGGCAGATTATGTTGATGTAGTGTGACATACCAAAATGAAAAGGGGGCCAGACCGAAAAAGAGAAAAAAAAGAAAAAAAAATTAAGGACCATGCACCACTCACAGCGTGCACAAAACTCAAAGATTCCGCTGACGTGTCTTTCCATGTTCTCATTTTGCACGTATGGTGGATGGTGCATCATTGTTGCTTTCCCGTGACTTGCATTCAAACATACGTCGGAAACCCCACAAGCACGGGCAGGAAAACTCAAATTCTTCCCAATAGAAACGGCCTCAGTCCATTACTCGCCAAATGTGCAAAATGACAATGTCTTCCACTAAACACGGGAAGATAGACTGTCATATGTTTGTGGGCCTCGCTCCACTACTCTTCACATGCAGAAACGAGAAAAAACATGGTGGTGTATCTTCCTGCGTTCTAATAGAAGATTCATTCCCATTTTGCACATTTGGTGAGTGGTGGAGCAACACCCCAGGTACTTGTGTTCAAACCTGCGGCAAGGATGAAAAGCCTGAAGGCAGAAAACAACAAACGCTGGGCGAGGACGGAAACCCCCAAAGCAGAAAACAACAAAACAGTGCCAGCGCAATGGCCCCTTGCTCCAAACAATAGTGCGTAGCGATGTGCACGTATCAATCGCCAAAACGGAGCCAGGGGCGGGAAAGAGAAAACACAACGCCGTGCAGTGTGCAATGTCGTGCGGGTGTTAAAAAAAAAAAAAAAAAGTGCAAAAACCTCGCATGCCCCATACAGCGGCCCAGGCCCAAGTGGGAAAAAGGTATCGCATGAGAGCGCCACACGAGACCCAGGTTATCCTTTATATAGGAGTATGGACAAGTCAGATCCACTGCACTGAAGCCTCAGCCCAGAGGCGGGGATAAGATGACGCCCCCAGAACAAAAAGCTACCAAAAAAAAAAAAAAAGGCCAAACGATAAATGGTAAGGCAAACCTGAACGCACCAGCCTCTTATAGCCGCATACATGGGCAAATCCGACCGCCATTGGCTCGCAATCTTTCCATGTTCCAGCAGAGGATTCAGTCTCATTTTGCAAATTTGGAGAGTAGTCGAGCAAGGCCCCATGAGTCGGTGCCGGGACATGGAAACAAAAAAAAAAGAACTAACCTCTATTCTTCTCTCAATTTTAACTTTCACCACCTATCTACCATTACTCCTAAGCCCCCTGCAAACATACCTACCTCTCACAATCAAGGGGCTGCTTGCGGCTGATGAGGCGGGTATTACACCGCCCGCATGGTCCGATGGTGAGAGATAGCAGCAGAGATAGCAGTGCACATAGCAGTGCAAATAGCGGTGCACACAGCAGGAGAGAGAGCATCGCAAATAGCAGTCCAT